AGCAACCACCCAATCAGCCACAAACACAGTTGTGTAAGGACGCTCTATCGGCGTGTCTAAACGCACTGTAGTGAGCCGGAAGACAAGACTGCTGAACTACAATACCTCCGACGGCTTTCAAAGCCAATGGCTACCCGCACAACTTCGTCAACCGGTGCATATGCAAAAGGGACGAAAGGCCTAACCGCAGGACACCAAATCTTGGCGGGCACTTCCGTATGTCAAGAACGTTTCGGAAGCTGTCGGCCGCCTTCTCGCACCACTTGGGGTTGGAGTTACACACAAACCGGAGGCAACCATCAGGCGTCAGTTAATGAAACCGAAAGACCCACTGCCACGGCTAGAAACGTCTGGAGTCGTTTATAGGATCTGATGCAGTTGCGGATTAAGCAACTGCGTCGGAGAAACCGGAAGACAGCTCCGAACGCGAATGCTCGAGCACGCTGCAGCCGTGCGGAGAAATGACGCCGGCTCTCAAGTTGCGGCTCATTCGACGAGATCAGGCCACACATTCAAATTTGACGAGGCCGAAATTCTCGCAAGACGTGACAACCGCGTGAGCCGGGAGCTGTTTGAGTCATGGTTTACTGGCCCCCAGTTCATTAACAAGTGCAATGAACTTCCCATGCCATACTCGGTACTGAGACTTCGCCTAGGTGGGGTTATTGGCCACGCGGGGAGCCCGCAGGTGAACACTTATCTCAACACTAGGATAGGTGCGTCAGATGGTCGAGCAATCATCACACCAACATCCAACGAACGTGATGAAATTACAGCAATTAACGACGCGAATGTCGGCCATCACACCACGTGAAACGATCCGTGATGAAGAGGGGAGCCGTGAACATTCATAGGTATGCGGTGACATGGCTACTGCATCCTATAATTACTGCAGCCCCTTATGCATGAACCACCCGTATCTGCTTTTGTCTCTGATGATGGGTTCGAGCAGGAATCCGAAACGTCGGGCTAATAAAGCTCTTGTCTCAGCGATCTCCAAGCTGGACATCGCAGCTCTTAAAGAGACCGGATTCTCCGAGCAGGGACAGCTGAAAAAAGTGGGCGCTGATTTCTACTTCTTTTGGAGCGAACTTCCCAATGCAGTGTCATAATTTCCTCTGTCATCAGGAATGGCATCAAGACGACTGTCCCTGTTGCCAGACGGATCATAGCCTTGTCGTCTCGAAAATGAGGTTGCAAATACAATCCCACACGTTACCGCAAATTATATGACGGTCAAACTAATTAGATTGGCTACAACTACATTCCGCTAATCTTCCTCTATATTTGACAATCATTTGAAGCTTCAATGGGTAGAAACGCGGATCCAGGAGACGATGCCACCATGGAGATGCAATGGAGTCAGCTACGAAACTTCGTCCACTCCACCGCACAGACGTCCTCGGTGACACCCACCGCTTAGACTGGAAATGGCCTGATAACTACAAAGAAGAAATTATCAATCCGCTTCCCCAGAATAACAGGCTATACACGGTCTACATCAACCTCAGGATCAACGCGAACGAACCGGCTTTTTCTGCTTTTGACGACTGATACAGCAGCGAGCAAGGGAGTTGCAAAATGCTTGGATGGGTTGCGAGGTTTGAAAACTGCATGGACCTGCGGAACCCAAAGAAGTGGAGCAGTACGCCTCTCCAACGTACCCGATTTACGGCCCCCACAGCAAATAAAACGCGTTACTGCTCAGTTCTGATGATTCAGTTCTTCTTAGGGAGAAATTGCGACTTCCGAAGTGCTGGGTGGAGCACTTCAAAAGCATCCTCAATCGATTGCTCACGATATTCGACATTGTAATCAACAGACTCCGAAGCTAACCCCGACCGCCTGTCCTCGTTGTAAGAAACCATTACGACCATAACCAGATGTCCAGGGGCAAAGCGCCTCCTTGATAGCCTAAACGCCTTCCTGAAGCAAGGGCTTATCAAGGAGAGTCATTTTGGATTCCAAGACAACTGCAAAATTATCCATATGATATTCGCAATAGGCTAACTGCTCTAGAAATATGAGGAAAGGCAAACCAACTTCCTTACCACATTTATTGATCCAGTGGGGGCTTTGGGCGCACACAGCAACGTCGTGCTCCGGAAATTATACTGAAATTTAGCTGTTCGGAACAATTTACACAAATGGTGCTGAAATAACACGAGGGATTGATGGTTTGCATCATGGACATGGGAGAATTCGCGGTGATCGGCGTAGTGAAGCAGGGTTGCGTGCTCTTTCTCCCTCTCCTGTCTCATTTTTCTGACGCGCTGATGGACGCCTACCCTCAGTAGCGCCCTTATGTAAACCTCACTTACACGACATACGACCGGCTTCTCAAAACTCAATTTTTACAGGCACCAAAGAAAATTTCCCTAAACACTGCTCACTACCGCCAGTTCACGAATGACTGGGCGCCCAAAATCACAACAGAAAAGGGTGTGCCAAGAAGCTACATCTGCGAAAAATTTGCCTGAACATCAACATAGAAAAGACGGTGGACATGCGTCCACCAGCTCGGTTTCCAACAATACCACTATTGACGACGAAGCATCGCACTTGATCTCCATGAACAGAAAGGCCGTCAGTCAGCTATAGCCATCAGTCCGATATTGCCACAGTCTTCACTTCAACACAAAACATTGGATATATGGGCTGTGGTCTTGGGAAGGCTAGTATGATTGGCGGAAACCAGGTAAGTATACACTTACCAAATTAGGGAACTTTGCCAGACAAACCAGCTGGCGCCGGAAAGTGCTCGCGTTGAGGTGACAAAACACGAAAACCGACATTGTGAGTCAGGGACTTAAGGAGATGCTCAATATCCATGATATGCTTAAACAACCGAAACTACGCTGGAGCGGCTGCTTTGCGAGGTTAGAGAAGGAGCAACCACCAAAATGGATGTTCTACGGTGACCCTGATAGGGATTTTTGGAAACAAAGAAAAAACGGCGTGTCAACGACGCTCTGAACACGCCAGTTAAGGACTTATAAATCAACCTGGAGACCTGTGAGGATCTCGTTCTGAATCGACAGACACCGAGAAACACAATGAAGACCGAATCGGCTATCATTGCAGCCGACGAGATCGCCGCTGGCAAGGTAAAATGCGCTCCTCACTAATCTTAAGTGTCCCAAAATAAAACCTCCAAGGCTCAAGTTCTTCTACCATTTCCACCTTGCGAACGGACAGTTCGCACCCAGATCGGTCTTGTTGAACATCTCCAGACCCAATTAGGCTTAAGCACGGACTTTCCACCGTCTCAAAACCTCCTTCTTCTTCTCCTCCTCCTCCTCCTCCTCCACCGTCACAACCACCATCACCACAGCATTCGGAAGACAGCCACAACCAACCTCAAATCTGAGAACACTCCCGACGCCCTGCGAAGAATCGACACGGCAAACTCAACACTGCAATTCCCAACTTTCCCTATTTCGATTTTACGTTCGCATTACGCCTTGGCCTGGTCGACCACCTGCGAATACGTCGTACCGTGCCCCGCTAACTAGGTCCCGGGGTCCCAACATACACCAGACACACGCGACTCACCTGCTCACAATGCCTTAGGACACTAAGACATCGGGTGGGTATTCCTGACCATTTGCGCATACTCGAAGGCCGAATTCATCAAAAATCGCACACGATACATGCACTTTACGTACCTGAATACTCATGCACAACTAATGCCATCACTACCAGCACCATCAACTCAGCAGCCACCGTCGCATTATGCTCTTACTGTCCCCCGTACATTTCCGTCACGCATTGACCCGTTCGCTCATTCCCGAATCCATCACACTGAGACCAGTAACAAGTTCAACAGTCTAAATATATACCCGTAGAGCCCGCCTCTCCAGCACACAATGTTTGTGGACACATTCAGTCCCATGCGTTCTCACAAGACTTTGGGAAAACTACCACAGTCCAAAAAATGCATAACCACACATCGCTCTGCCAGCCCACAAATCTCTAGACCACCAAAAACCTTCTCTACATCGCTCGCCAGATACGAGAATCTCGTTTTTTGTTGCCTCCTGGTGTACAAACCGTTCCCCAGCCCATCTGTGGTACACCTCGACGAACCCTCAGACACCGCACTCAGCCCAACCACCAGCTTGTTGCCAGGCTCGAGTAGCCGATGGATGAACGGAAGAGGAAAGGAAGAATGAGGCCAACTCTGGGCGGATTGCTCACTGTGGCAAATCCGAAGCTTTGATGTCTACCACGACACGATACAAGTCATTGCTAGGAAAGCTGCCAAATGATGACTTAACTCGGTCTCCTATTAGGTGAGGTCCAAGCGCAATGACTGCTTCTTAATGCGGCCATTATAGTACGAAAACGCATAGGAGATCCAGATTGGCAAACGCGAAGGCCTGATGTTTTCTGTGGGGACCAGGCCGTGTTTGGCACGCGTAGATGTGTCATTCGTCTTCGTTGGTCAGTGCTCGAGTCCGGCGGTTTTGACTTTCTCTTACTATCTGAACCAATTGGGTGCGGCAAAGGAGAGTGCAACAGGCGCTGAGCAAGTCCGCCATAAAAATAAACCAATTGTGCGCCTCCCCCCCCCCCCGCTATAGGGCACACAACGGATGTCATTGCCCGCGATGGTCTGACTGTCATGTATTGCCGCCAGTCTATCTCCTAGTTGTTTGCCGTTTTGTACGTCGGATGATCCTTGTCTGCTTCTTACGGCTTTGATCTACTGACAACGAAATCTATTGCGCAACCGGATGTAGTAGTTAGGACCGTAGCAAGCACACGAGATGGAGAGGACGAACGAATATGGCTGTAAGAGTCAGAACGAGAATACCCTATAACAGGGCTTTATTCATCTTACAATTGACGTACTGGGACTGAAAAGAGAAATAGAAAAGTAGTAGGTAAGGTGGAATTTAGTCCGGGGCTTATGTTAGCATGACATTCACCCCGGCCAACAAATGGAAGAATCGAGATGTCAAAAATCGATAGGAAAAGTTTGTATGGGGCAAAGTTCAGGCGTCTCTGTTACGAAGACAGTATGGGTGAACACGTTGTTGTTGTTGGGTTAATGTTTCAAGGTTATGCATACGGACATCGGCAGCGTTTGGAAGACTAACAGGTGTTGCATCATTCTGTCCGTCAGTTGAAACGGTGCTATTTTCTTGCTCGGTAATGGGTGGGTGGTCAGGGGAAAGTGGGGAGAGATTTTCTGGTACCGGCGTGGCCGTCTCCTGGTGGCAGTCACCAACGTCCTTTTCACCGCTGGGAGCAAGCTGTCGAACAGATACCGTTTCTTCTCTGCCATTACTGAATCGTATATGGGCATATTGGGGGTTACACTGGAGTAGTTCCACCTCCTCAACGAGCGGATCAAACTTAGACTGTTGATTGCTTTTCTTCAGCAGAACTCTGCCAGGAGAGGTAAGCCACATGGGGAGAGTAGTGCCAGTAGTTGACCTCCTGTTGTAGACAAATATTCTCTCATGAGGCGTTGCATTAGTGGCGGTACACAAAAGTGATCTAATGGAGTGTAAAGCATCAAGTAAGACGGATTCCCAGTGTGTGACGGGCAAATTTTGTGATTTCAGAGCAAGCAAGATGGTCCTCCATAGAGTTTGGTTCAGACGTTCAACCTGTCCATTTCCTTGGGGATTGTATGGAGTTGTTCTACTTGTCGCCACTCCCTTACTGTGAAGGAATTGCTGAACATCATCCGACATAAATGACGATCCCCGGTCGGTGTGTATGTACGAAGGAGTACCGAAAATGGAGAAGAGCTGACACAAACATTTAATGACAGTTCCGGCAGTCTGATCAGGACAGGCAAACGCAAACGGGAAACGAGAATATTCATCAATAATCGTCAGCAGATAGCGGTTGTGAGTAGCCGACGGAAGAGGACCTTTGAAGTCGAGTGACAATCGTTCGAACGGCTGAGTGGCTTTGATGAGTTGGCCTTGTGTTTTAAAGAAACGGGGTTTGACTTCACAACAGGCCTGACATTTAGTGACGACATTGCGAATCTCTTCCATCGAAAAGGGGAGATTCCGAGCTCGAACAAAGTGCGAAAGTTGAGAGACACCGGGATGGCAAAGTGACTCGTGTAGTTCTTTCAAATCCACACTGGTTAATAGGGCGCCACAGCAATTACGGGAAAGCATGTCCGCCGCTCGATTTTCTTTACCAGGTCGGTAGACAATGTCAAATTTGAATGGTGACAGTTCCAATCTCCAGCGTTCGATCTTATCATTCTTGACCTTCCCTTTTTGTTGATTGCCGAAGATGAAGGCAACAGAACGCTGATCCGTGATGAGTTTAAAGTGATTACAGAGGAGGAAGTGCTTCCATTTGCGTATGAATTCCACTACGGCATATGCTTCTTTCTCTATAGCTGAATGATGTCGCTCATTTGGAGATAGGCTACGTGAAAAGAACGCTACTGGCCGGCCATTCTGGTTCAGCGTGGCAGCGATAGCGACGTCTGAAGCATCGGTCTCGACAACTAATGGGGTATCGTACCGAACGGTGGCCACTGTGGCTTTCGCAAGTTCCTCCTTAAGAGCATTAAACGCTTCTATTACCTTCAATGGTAAAGGGAAAGTTCTGTTATGGATGAGCAGATGAATTTTATCCGAAAAGTGAGATATCCATTGCGAGTAGTATGCGAACAGTCCCACAGCTCGTTGTTGAGACTTGAGATCTTGCGGAGGAGCCATTTCACGCAAAGGCCTTAGACGATCTGGGTCCGGTCTAATGTTGCCCTTGGACACCTCGTAGCCAAGAATCTTGATTTCTTTAGAAGCGATAACAATTTTGGCTTAATTGAATGTTAGTCCGTACTTTTCAGCCACGCTAAGGAATTTTTGTAGGGTTGAATCATGCTCCGCGAGGCCGTTCCCACAAATAGTGATATTGTCCACGTAGACGAAAATATTCTTTAGACGTTCGCGTGCAATTATGTCGTCGATGGTCCGCTGGAAGCACGCAACTCCGTTGGTCACACCAAACGGGATACGACAAAAATGGTATAAACGTCCACAAGCTTCAAAGGCAGTGTACGGTCTTTCCTCTACTCGGATGGGTATTTGGTGATAGGCGCTCTTGAGATCGAGAGTGCTATACGTGTCGTAGTTTGCGATACGTTCAACCATTTCGTCTATTCTGGGGGAAGGATAGGCATCTAGAAGAGTGTATCTGTTGATCGTTTGACTATAATCGACAACCATCCGCTTTTTGTGGTTTTCGTTGGCTACGACCAAGACTTGGGCTCGCCAAGGGGATAATGAATGCTCAATTACACC